GTGATTCGGTACAATCACGGTACAAATCACGGTACATACCGTTAGTTTGTTTTCCCATTTGACGTTGCAAATAGGAAATGGATTTCTGACCTATTTCCTATTTTTAAAATGAAAATAGAAAATAGGAAATGGGTTTCTGATCCGTTTCCTATTTTAAAAGTCTAAATAGGAAATGAGAAATAGGTTTCTGATCCGTTTCCTCAAAAAGTCTAAATAGGAAATGATAAATAGGTTTCTGATCCGTTTCCTATTTGCGAAGTCACGCAATGCAATGCAATACACGCACGTACACGCAGGTACACGCACGTGCACGCGGGTACACACAGATACACGTACGTACACGCGGGTACACGCACTTGTACGCGGGTACACGCACGTACACGCGGGTACACGCACGTGCACGCGTGTACACGCACGTACACGCACGTGCACGCGAGTACACGCAGGTACACGCACGTACACGCAGGTATACGCAGGTACACGCACGTACACGCGGGTACACGCACGTACACGCACGTACACGCAGATACACGCGGGTACACACACGTGCACGCGGGTACACGCGCGTACACGCGGGTACATGCACCAGGGGCGGATTCAGACCGTATTTGCCGTATTGGGAAATACGGTCTAGATTTCAAAGTGCCCTAGCCTTCAAATTTGCGCTAAAAAATACAGAAAACAATTTATTTCGATATTTGGCTATATTCTTTATTTGTTTCTTTTTTCTAATTCATTGCACAACTTGAAGGAAAATCAAAATTTACATCAGCGTAAACAAAAACTAACTTTCGCATAATCTGAAAAAGAATGACGTGCTGAATCATTCTGCATTTAATGCTGGTTATGGCAAGCGCAGGCAAAATGAAGCAGAAATAAATGTCCTTATGGTTCGTTATCTATTCTGCTCACTAAATGTGTGGCTCAAATTGTGCTCATTTCGGCCAGGACTTAAAATTTGAAAAATTTGCCAGACCCCCCGCCAGCTGCTTTCCGCGGAAACGCCCCACTGTGGGTTGGTGTCCACTTTTGGAGGATGGCCTTAAAATCTCGAAAAAAAATACTGCTACTTCAAGCTCTGATCCCCCCTGTCACGTACACGCGGTACACCACGTTACACCAGGTACACGCAGTACACGCGGTACATGCATGTACACGCACGTTACACGCGGGTACACGCACTACACGCAGATACACGCCACTAAGTTTTTCCACACAAAAACCGTCACGATCACAAGCATCTACTATTAAAAAATTATATACCGCGTACATAAAACAAATAAAAAACCGATAAAAATACACATCGACAGTCACACTTTCACGTCCTCGTCTCGCTCTGTCAGCCTTCCTTCTCTGTTGCCCTCTCCTCTTTCTCTCTTTACAACATAGCCGAGACTCGCACTTCTCTCGCATATCATGGATGCAACACGCCTTCCTTCCCAGCTAACATATAACGTTCCCACAAAACGTTTCATAGTTCTCACGCCGTGTGCATATCCACCGTTCTCTCTCCCGCTCTCGCTCTGTTCCTCCCGTCTCGCTCTCCCCATCTTGCCTCTGTCGATCGCTCTCCGTCGTTTTCCTCTCCATCTTCCTTATCCACCGTTCTCTCTCCGCGTCTCGCTCCCATCTTCCTTGCGTATTGGCCGTTAATCGATATATATAAATCGCTTTACCTTACGTTTTTGCAAAACCCAGTAGTGACGTTCTGTCACGAGCCACCAAATGTAAACAAGTCTACCACCTGCACCACGCCATACAACAGCACTGGTCGTTACCCACTACCACATAGAGTCCCTCTACTATAAAGGGACTTCTAGACCACACCTATGTGATCGCGTTTTTACGAACGCATTATTACAATTGTTCTATTATAGTTAAAAACACTATATAGTTATATATCACTACCGGGTAATATAGTTAGCTACTCTGCCTAATACCTACCTTCTATTTTGATTGCACTTCAATTAACACCTTCCTACACCGTAGTGCAAAGCGTTTGCTGTTCCAAAAATTGTGCTGACCCATCTTTATTTGTACACCAGCATCTATTTGTAAACAACCAATAATATCTTTATTAACATCCGGTCTCTACCATATGCGCATGCATAACTGTCAATTCTGGAATATAAATATAGAGCTAATTAATAATACCCTTATTATTATTATTATACCCTTATATATATTATTAGATTACTATATATATAAATAGATCACTCTTGTATTAGCACTGATGAGTTGGACTTTCGCCTCCACACTAAACAGTTCTGTATGCAATAAACAGAGTCAAAATTCTCACCGTAGTCGTTATAACTTTATCATATATATTATAATATATATATATATATTATATATATATAGTATATATAGCAATATTTATATATAAGCGCCCAGTGGAGTATCCATTTACAGAGGAAAGCGCGTTCAGTATATCAACGAATCGAATGTGCATCCGCAGAAACTTTAATGGGCACATTTGAACCAATTTCCTCAAGTACTTGTTCGCGGTACATATATAGCGTCCGCCGTGCAAGCGTCACGCGGGGTCACGCGCAACCGAAAATCGCCCGTATTCTTATATTTACCTGCTAAGACTGCGATGCGACGTGTAGTGATGTAACCGCTCCTTCGAACAGGTGTTTAATTAATGCGCGGGACATAATTCTCATGTGTGTGCGCGCGCGTGCGTGCGCGCGTGTGTGATTGAATAAATACCTGTAGTGGAGGACTTTCACATGCTATTGCATACGTGTGTTTATTTATAACAAATTACCTTTCTAAGTAGCACTGTTTGGAAGAAAACGTCCCATCTGCATTGCAGCTTGGTGAAAACTGATAGCGGTCAGCCATCATAGCCTGTATCCAGCAGTTTTCCAACATTTTCGGCTCCGTCCACAGAATATTAGCCCACGGCTCTGGCGTGAAGCGATGCCCATATTTCTCGCGTATTTGCTCCCTGACAGCAATAGGTCCAAGTGGTCTCCCTCCCAGCTGACGGGGCTTGAAGCCATATTCGGATGCGGAATTCGTCGATGATCTTACATTTAAATTGATGTCACCGATGTCTGATTCGAATAGCGCAGGAGTATTCTCTTGTAATTTTATCTCATCCTCTGTCTCGACAATTAGGCCCTGTGTATTCACAGTGGTGGCCTCGACTTCCCAACTGCTACTGCCTGCAATCTGTCCAAGCAAACTCTCTGTCGTGTATAAACCTTCGTGAGCGGATTCCGACGTGTCAGTTACCTGAGGGCCGGTATTGCTGGAAATAATTTTTAATGAAGGGCCAACCTTTGTTAAGAGTGCTTCTTTCAGCTGAACAAGGCGTAGCGCTTTGTCTGCCTCGACATTTATAGCTCTTTCAACGTCCGACTGATACGCTGCTCGTTCTTTCATCGTCATGCCTTGTCTTGAACTAATAGCAAGCTTACTTCGTAAATCATCCAGTATCTCCTTCATATTGCTTTGGTAGTGCAACGCTTCCTTCAACCAGGAGCTGTACTGCAGTCGCGCCACATCTGGCAACTCGGGGTCAGATTCGACTAGATGTCTCAAGTTGTTCAAGCGGCTGTTTTCCTCGGTCATGGCTGCGAGTGTTTCGGTTAAAACATTGTCGGCTACTTTAGCATTTTCGGCGGTTCCAGACTCTTGTACAAAGCTGCGCAAAAGTGTTTTCAAGCCGTCATACTCCTTATCATCAGATTCCATTGATTCCTGACGAAAAATGACAGCTGATTAATAGATTGAGAATATTCGGTTGAGCTACATTGAACGTTAGTTATAGATAAACAAATATGTTTACTCTACATGTAGTGTATTATTATTGGCATATCTACACAGTTAGCGAATAGCTATCTTGTATCTTAGCTTAATGTATTTTATATCAAGTATGGATAAAGGTCTAGATGTTCATAGGAGTTATTGTATACATGGAAGAGAAGGGGGTAACACAGGGCAGTTCGGCCTAGATCCCACCCAAAGAGAACACATAACACACATACGCGCGCACGCGCGCACACACGCACACGCGCCCATACACGCACACACGCACGCGCGCACACACACACACACGCACGGCACGCGCACACACGCGCGCGCACACACACACGCGCGCGCGCGCGCACACACACACACACACACACACACACACACACACGCACGGCAGGCGCGCACACACACATACTGGACCACATTGGAACCCACCGATCAATGGTAAAACTCACCTTTAAAATCTCTTCCAGAAGTTCAAGGTGAACCGAATTATTTCTTTGCTTACGCACGACTGTTTCACTGTTTACTGTAACATCATCCGCAATTGGTGGGCTCCGGGTCGTTACAGGGCTTTGTAAGTAATCATTTAAAGGTCTTCTCTCCACCTCTCTTTCCAATTGCAGTAATTCTTCAAAATCATTCGATGGGAATGATTTTACGTGATTGATCACGTAGCATAAAGAATAAAGAACAAGGAACACACTGAGACAGATACGATTAAAATGTGAAGGTTTTACCATGTCTCAAAATTGTTACAGTTTAGGCATATGTATATCTTGATCTTTTGCATTACATGAATATACTGGCCCGTCCTGTTCTAAAATTCATTGTTACAAATGTTAATTGTTTATTGTGATGATGTCATTAATATGTGATGTGTTATTATAGCTACATATAGGAAATTATAGGAATAATAGGAATATAGGAATAATATAGAAATAATATATATAGGAATAATAGGATACATATATGTAGGATACAAATATGTAGGATACAAATATAGGAATACATATAGGAATAATAGGAAATTATGACTCCCAAGCTGCATGCTATTGGAATACTTTTTTTCGGGTGAATAATATTATAGTGTACCTAAAAATAAAGATAATAACTGTATGATACTTGGTACAAGACATAACCCTAATAGTACAAAATAAGTATACCTGAAGTGTTCGTAATGCTCAAAATAAACACACCAGTTCAACTCACAACAAATAGAGCTAACAAAATTTCAAGTGCCAAACAATAAAAACATTTCATTATTCAGAAATTGACAGAAGTCCATGCTCATACTTCAATCACAACATGTGCTAAATGATTACAATGTTTACAAAGTTTTATACAACATATTTATCATAAGAAACAATAAGAACATAAAGAGCAACCGATTACAAAAGATTACTGCATTACAAGAGATAAAATTATTACATGCTACGATTGGAATAATGTCTCTGTATTGCATTACATTTTACGTTGAGATTATGTGCACTGCACAATATCGTCACCTGGGCGCATACGTATAACGAACATTAACACTAGGTCACTTTACTTTTTACCTAACATCCCAACTATAAACACAAACAGGACACAGAAGGCACTAAATTATTTATAGTACATGGTTTGACAAGGATCATTCAAGAAGTATCGTTAGATTTTGCACGTATTAGATTTATTTAATTACTTGTATCGGGCACATATTTTCTAGAATAATGTATTATAAAACGCATTTTGTTCACAGCCAGGTATTTACATTACGAGCCACTTTATATGTATATAGACTTTGCGCCATGCAACCATACCGAATTCTGTACAATGCCTACCAATTTTTGGGCAAAATGAGCCATTCCTGAATTCTCAAATTATCTCTTATATTATAGCTATAGAGATGCTGAATGATTGCAATCATCAGTGTTATTGAAACAGTGATCCTCTTAACACTGACATAAATACAAATTACATCCAATTGTACAAAGTGTTCTAGCCTATTTTTCTCATGTAATGCACTCAATTGCAATTCCAAATATCCAAGTCTAGAAATCTTTCAAATTAATCTGGAATAAAACCCTAATACGACACGTTTATTTATATCGGTAATACTTGACATTTTTTCTGCAGTAGTATTCACCATAACACAAAACGTTTATTGCTTTTTTTGCTAAGATTATGGGTTAGGGGTTAGGTTTGATATGGTTACTGAGTAGCAAAAATTTAATTTCATTACTTCACGAATATTCCTCAACTGCCATAATTCGGCATTGTTATGGTACTCAAAGAAACATTTTAAAATAGCAAAACTGACATATGCACACTATATTCAATAAGGGTTAAAACATCAGGGTTTCAACCCAGAAATGTTCATTCATAACAATATAACCCATCTTTCGGTTTCCTTACCCAGTCAGGATGTAAGTGTGGATGGTTTCAGTGAAAATGTGCTATTTCTCTGCTTGATCAAGATTACCAACCAAAGATGTATTCCATTGCATTTGAAATTACGTTATTACTTTTCTGTGGAGTCCTTCCAGCTACTACCTGAAAGATAGCAAAGTATCACGTAAAATGTGCATTTCCACCATGCTCCAAGTGCTATATGCTTCAGTTCTAAACCATGTCTGAAAAAAAAACTAAATGAAAGTGTCAATGACACTATAGCTCACCTTGGGTGTGATGATATTTAAAATTTGGTATGTGTTTCATTTATGATGGACCGAATTGTGATCAAAAGTCCTTATTCCCTGTTTTATACTAATAGAAATTTTACCGTTTTGTTTTAGGGTTAATTTTGATGCGAAAATAAATGTTTCAGATATGAAAGTCGGAAATCTGGGCGAGAGATGGCGCTACGCCTAAATGATCGCCATTTTGGTTTTCGATTATCGCACAAATAAAAGTAATAAAATATTCCAGTCAAATTACTGTAACAAAGAATCTAAAACACAGTATTACACGTAGGTATGATTAGGTAGGTAGGTAGGTAAATTTAACAAAATCAACAAAATGAATCTAGATGGCCATTTGCCAAAAAGTTGGCGTGGCTCGAAAGTAGGTCGACTGGCGTGCTCCAAAATAGGACGTTCAATCCTCTCCCATAGGAGTAACAACTGCATGCAATTTGAAACATGTGGGTCAAACGGTTCTTGAGTTATCGTTGACCGTAGGCAGACACTGAAATGCATAGTGAAATTGCCAAAATCTACCTAATTTGCATAATTTAAAAAAAAAATCAAAACCCCTGTGATATGTTTTGGGGGTCAGTCGTTATTTATTCACATACCAAAAATGAGCAAAATCCGTTGAACCTGAACTGAGTTATGGCCACTTCCATTTTTGCCAAAAAGTGGGCGTGGCTCAAAAGTAGGTCAACTGGCGTGCCCCTAAATAGGACGTTCACATATCTCCCATAGGAGTAATAACTGTATGCAATTTGAAACATGTGGGTCAAACGGTTCTCAAGTTATCGTTGACCGTAGCCAAATGTTGACGGACAGACGGACGGACGGACGTACGTACGACGCCCCATGGCTATGGCTCATCTTGATGATGTCAAGGTGAGCTAAAAACTGCACTCTCATGAGTAAACTACACCATAACACGTACTAATGCCTATATAGACAACATGTCTGATCCAACTTTACACAGCAATTGCCTACATGAACACCATCATAACATCAGGGGTTAATAACAATGACAAATATTTACAGAAAAATGTACATAATTATATGTACATACAAAAAAATGTACATAAATGTACAAAAATTTGTAATAACAATTATATTAACCCCTGATAACAGGTAATGCCTAAACGGACATGAAAATATACCTCATGCTCACTGCTTGCTGCCCGATATGCAGCTGTAAGAGGCCTGATGGAGGCCCTGCCTCCACCTGTCTGTTCAAACGGACTCGCATGATTGTTTACAGACGGCTTCCCTAGCGTACTAGTCGACAATAAAGATGGCCGACTATTAGTTTCTTGTGCCATCACAGACTGCAATAGTGTAAAAGAATATTTTTTAGTAAGAATATCTTCAAAATCATTAATAATATCTAATGATTTGTTTTAATTTTAAATGACTCTATAACATTATAAATGCCGAGCCATGAAACCTAACAGGAAAAAATATTAGAGTTCAAGTTATTTATAATTCAATTTTCTATTATTAAGATGCCACTACTGTCTTCATGCAATACTTGATAGTAATATGAACAAATTAGATTCTACAATTTGAAGTATGTATAAACTTCATAGCCACTCACTTTGTCTATACATCGACTAACTCCAACCATGATTTCATCTCCAAACACCCTGCCATTTTTGCTAAGAGCTTTCTTGGCCTGTAGTTTTGACTGATAATGTATGTGTAACCAGTTTCCTTTTGCAGCCACCTGTTGAAGTATATTCAATAATTATTTTCTTATTGAAGAATAATAGAATGATATGCTATAGGTGTCTTACATAGGAGAATGCTATCGAATTAATCAAAATGCTATTTCCTGATCCCTCTCACAATTTACCGCCATTCAAATACTATTTAAACAACATTTGTGTGACCTCCATTATTCAACGAAATTACAAAATAAAAAACAAAAACAATCAACAAACATTTAAGAAAAGAATTTTAAGGAAAACATCTTAATAAATTACACTGTCTCTATTCATATTTACAATTATTGAAGTATAAATGACTAGTATTTAATAGCGCTATTATTATTTATAACACTAATTCATTCACAAGGTAATAGCCTCAACTTATCCTAAAATCACATGTTGATTTGTCAGTATTTCATGCAACACGTCAAGGTTATAGTGCTAGATAAACGAAACTAATACAAATTGTGTGTACAAGTGCCATGCCTCATTAAGAAATTAAAACTTACAAATACATTTTACACGCACGCACGCACGCACGCACGCACGCACGCACGCACGCACGCACGCACGCACACACACACACACACACAGTACAAAATCAAGGTGCTGTAATTAGTAGCTCCTGAAACAGTAGGATATTAATAACATGGATGCTGACAGCTCTAATTCCAAGATTCATCTCACCAGAGGCACCCGTTTCCGCTCATCTTGGTGTCCACACTGCAACTGCACCTTTAACAAGTACACAATTTAGGGGCCAACTACAGGTAGATGGCTACAAACGAACTACGCAGCAAGGCTACCCAGCATCTTCTACATAAAACACTGAAAATGTTATTAGCATGGTATAAACATGATGAAACGAATGCACGATAAATGCATGCAAGTGACGTGATGGCATGCACGAGGCAATATATCTATATTTTCCCTGTATAGATGGCAGCACTAACCTTATGCTCAAGAATGTTGCCGTATTGAGAGAACTGTTGTAAAATGTAGGAAGCTGCAGCCGGTGGAAATCTGAGAACACAAAAAATGTTACTGTAATACAGCCCTTCAACATGATTGGTTTGGCCAAATGAATACCTACGTACAGCAGTTTTAACCTTAAAATATAACAGTACTGATCTGAATTTCAGTGAACTTCATGCATTAACAATTACATATGATACAGTTACAAAAAGTGCTCATGTAACTTATTAAGTTGCTAAAGGGGGTCGCACACCAGCCGATTTTTCACGTGATTTGATCGGCCCGATAAAAATCAGCCGATATCTGGTAGGTGTGCGCGTTCATTTGTAGACGATTTTACTTACGATTATTTTTAACATAAACATGTTTGATTTTGAACCGATTATTTTGAAGCGATTTTGTGTAATCCGACAAGATTTTGTGGTGTGCGCGTGAACTCGATGAAAACGATAAATATTGAACAGCCAATAGCTGAACGTGCCCGTGTCACATGACATTTACATTTTATCGTAGGTTTATTATGACATCACATTTTATCGTAGGTGTGCGCGTGTTTATCGGAAGGCGTCGCGATGAGCCGATTTTACAAACGATAAAGAGATTTTTTAATCGGACCGATTTTTGGGCTGGTGTGCGACGGCCTTAAGGATAGGAAATACAGTTTGAGGATGATTAATAGAATGGACAAAGGTCAATGTTTAGCATAATGTGTGTGTAATAATAATTACTCACCCAAACACTGTTACCCAAGTCTCATCTAGGTCTTCGTCAGCAGTGAGGTTTTCTCTGAAGAGAATGAATCTCTGAATAAATTCAGGTTTTCAAAGTTGAATAAAAATATATTAAAGCCTGTATTACGAGATTTTTGCTCAGAAACACTCAATCTGAAAAAAATATAGCTGAATATAGTCTCACCTGACAGCGGAGATATCACTGATTACACCAACATTAAAAACACTAAGATTTTATGCAGTTATAGCATAGAAAATGGATTTGACCACATCATACCAGCTCCGGATATTATCGTGTCCGGAGAATCCAAAATACATATGGCGCCTTCAAACCAAGTGCATATAATTAAAACAAAAGGGCATGCAATTCTGTGTGGTAAATATTATTGACTTTTTATGTCAATAATTCAGAGCACTTTCTGTCATTGTCATTCCCATGTTACTATCTGACTGGTAATCCACAAGCTTCTCTAATAACAGACTTTACGCGGTATTAGTACTACACTCCTGTTACGCTAGTATGAACCTCTGTGTTTACACTCGGACCTGATTTCTGCAGTGCGAGTATTTGCATTACTACACCCTGGTTGATGTCTCGCGCTACCGCGAGAAAGTCCGAGAGATGGCAACAGAAACCAAAATCAGTAAAACAAACTTGTAGTCGTGCAGGTTTTGGTGAATACGAAGGTTCTAAGACATTTTATCGTTACTCTAGACAATTGCTGTTACTCAAGCAATAACGGTAGGTATCATGAAAGTGGGGAAAACACTGGAAAACTCTCGTAATAATTACTTTAACTTCTTTTAACACTAAGTTCTATTTCAATCTTCTTTAGATGAATGACATTGTCTATCAATTTTGTTTTGAATATTATTAGACTATATATCGATAAAATCATGCTGGTTCAAAATAATAAAAATGATTTGAAAAAATTTAAAAATTGATTTTTCACCTTTCCCATAACAAACTCCGATATTCGATTAATCAATTTTTAGGTATCACTGCATGAAAGTCATGCAGACACAAACATGTGTAACCCACATACCCTTGTGTGTAGAACGGATCAAGTTGTGCAGGTGACGGTGGGGTTGCACATGACTGATTGCTATTGTAAACAGCTTGAGTGCTCGCTCCTACTGGCTGAAAACTATTTGAGTGTAGACCTGGAAAATGTACACACGCTTTAAAAAATTTTACCGGTGAAAATAATACAATTACATGCAATTATTATGACACTGTCTCATGAATTATGCTACAACCACTAAAACACACAAGTTTGCATTAATGTGCATTACATGAAAATGGTATCTGCTCAAAACAACCATAGGAAAAATAACTAAATTCTTTCCTATAATTATATTCTCAACATATTGAAAACAATTGAATTTATTAATATGCTTCTATTAGTAATGTTTCTTCATTTTCAAGTTATACTAATTAGCTTAAATCTAGATATTTTGGGGAAGGTATATGATGTGAAGTAACCTTGAGATTGTTTATCTACCTTTCACAATCTCTGCTGCATTAAACAGCAGCAAAATATAACCAGACATTCTTCTTATCTATAATATATAATAAAGTCAGGACTAATTTCCTGCAGTAGTTCTCCTACCTGAAGGGAATGTTGTGCCTTGGAACGGGGTTAGAGTGCTTCCAGGAGTTGGAGTGCGTCTGTTGATGGGCGTACTGGCATGGTTTGTGCTAGAGACATTGGGCACATCTTCTGCTGATGCCAGCTTAGCACACTGTACAGAATAGTCTAGCTGCAAATTTATTTAAAAAAATGAAATCATTAAAGTAATACTGAAATCAGATCGGTATGTATCAATAGGGTTGATACGCAGAATGCAACTTTTTTTCAAGAGCTTTCCACAACATAAAATATCTGTTTCTCACAACTGCAAGCATCTATCAGAATACGATCAGTGTTCCTCATATTATCCTATCAGTAATTAGTGAACAAACCTTTGCACGGACCAATTTTTTTCTATTCAAACAAGATAGGCATCTAGTAAATTTCAAGGACTTTCCAGGACCACACAATAAATTATGTTAAACCAGGACCAAACTTAGTTTATTTTCCAGACCTGAAAAATGACACTTAACATCTAGGAAAGCCTAGTTTTTCCAGCATCCATATTGTACTCTCTCTGATCAGGATAACTAAGATCCAATGTGTAACAATTAACAGAAGCAAAAATTTTAAATGAATTTAAAAGACTGATATGTAAACAAGCCGTTAGTACTTGTATTTATTATATAATAATATTGTATTTGTATAAAGTTTTTTTTTTTAAATAGTCCATGATTTAACCTAAATGCGCACCTTTCTTCTTTCTGGAGAAATCAGTGAACTGTCTAGATGAGAGCTTTGGTATCCTGATCCATCTAGTAGGCCTTGTATTGGGGGTGCTCCAGATTTCTCCTTACCTGTTCTTCTATATTGTCAATCACAAAAAATAATATAATATTAAAGATTAAGTAAAACTTTTGAACGTGAATGTTAATCAACTCTCATGTAATATGAATCTTTTTTGGATTATAAACATTAATGAAAGTATCAATGACACTGTAGCTCACCACAAAAAAGGACACAAATGAGTGAGTGAGAAGAAGTAAGTTTTAATTGAGCAACCATCGACGTACATTATAGAAACGAAGAGTATATGTGGGAGAACTCCCATTA